AGTCTGGAACTCAGCGGACGAAGCCACTTCGCTCCCACTTCCAGGAAATTCCAGAATGTAACATGTTTTGAAGTCGCCGGAAGTCAAGATCTCTCTTCCATTGACGTCCGAAGACTTCCCCAGACTTCCCAGTTGCTTCCACCGACGTCCGTGCCACTTCCCGAGACATCCCACCCACGTCCAGGGACATCCTACGACTTCCGTTTACATCCTGCGACGTCCGACCCACGTCCAGGGATGTCCAACGACTTCCCTTTCACTTCCAGCGACGTCCGATGACTTCCCTGCCACTTCCCAAGACGTCCGACGACTTCCCTGCCACTTCCTAAGACGTCCGATGACTTCCCTGCCACTTCCCAAGACGTCCGACAACTTCCATGCCACTTCCAGTGACGTCCGACGACTTCCCTGCCACTTCCAGTGACGTCCGACGACTTCCCTTCCACTTCCCAAGTCGCCCGACCCACTTCCAGCGACGTCCGCTGACTTCCCTGCCACTTCCAGGGACGTCCGACGACTTCCCTGCCACTTCCCAAGACGTCCGGCGACTTCCATGACAATTCCAACAACGTCCCCTGACTTCCATGAACATCCCCGCCACTTCCGCTGTCTTCCCACGACTTCCACCGACATCCCCGCCACTTCCATTGACTTCCCACGACTTCCACCGACATCCGTGCCACTTCCATAGGCTTCCCACGACTTCCACCGACATCCCCGTTACTTCCATTTTCTTCCCATGACTTCGAGGGACGTCGAGGGACGTCGTGGGAAGTCGAGGGAAGTCCAGGGAAGTCGTGGGAAGTCGACGGAAGTCGATGGAAGTCGATGGAAGTCGACGGAAGTCGATGGACGTCGATGGAAGTCGATGGAAGTCGATGGAAGTCGACGGAAGTCGAGGCCGAGGGAAGTCGTGGGAAGTCGAGGGACGTCGTGGGACATCGTCGGACATCGTGGGAAGTCGTTTGACGTCGAGGGAAGACAAGGGCAGTCGCGGGAAGTCGAGGAAAGTTGATGGAAGTCGAAGGAAGTCGATGTGGAAGTCGAGGTCGAGAAAGGTCGTGGGAAGTCGTGGGAAGTCGTGGGAAGTCGCAGGAAGTCGAGGGAAGTCGATGGAAGTCGATAGTGGAAGTCGAAGTCGAGGGAAGTCGTGGGAAGTCGCGAGAAGTCGGGAGAAGTCGAGGGAAGTCGATGGAAGTCGATGTGGAAGTCGAAGTCGAGGGAAGTCGTGGGAAGTCGCGGGACGTGGAAGTCGTTGGAAGCCGAGGGAAGTCGGCGGAAATCGTTGCACTTTCTTGGATGTGGCTGCGTAATCGGGCTGAAGTTCCGCCAGCTTTCGTACTTAGTCGTCCCCAGGAGGACGTCATCGGCCACCTCATGGGGTGCCCGATGACGTCCCTACCGTGTCACCGAGACCAAGCAATGGGTAGGTCCTCACTCAAAGCAGGTCCGAGCCAGACTGACACATCCGGCGTCCAGGGACCACCTCGGACCCATTCCCCCACCCACGACTTGTCTCGATTTATCTCGGATGTCGGTGGAAGTCGTGGGAAGACTGTGGAAGTGGCGCGTATATCGGTGGAAGTCGTGGGAAGACAGTGGAAGTGGCGCGGATGTCGGTGGAAGACAGTGGAAGTGGCGCGGATGTCGGTGGAAGTCGTCGGTAGACAATGGAAGTGGCCGGGACGTCGGTGGAAGTCGTGGGAAGACAATGGAAGTGGCGTGGATGTCCGTGGAAGTCGTGGGAAGACAATGGATGTGGCGGGAAGTCGGTGGAAGTCGTGGGAAGACATTGGAAGTGGCGCGGATGTCGGTGGAAGTCGTGGGAAGACAATGGACGTGGCGTGGATGTCCGTGGAAGTCGTGGGAAGACAATGGAAATGGCGGGAAGTCGGTGGAAGTCGTGGGAAGATAATGGAAGTGGCAGGGATGTCGGTGGAAGTCGTGGGAAGACAAGGGAAGTGGTGGGGACGTCAAGGGAAGTCGGGGGACGTCGTTGGAAGTCATTTGGACGACTGGGGAAGTCAATGGACGTATTTGGACGAACACGGATGGAATTGGAAGAGTTGGGACGAATTTGGATGTGCAAAATGACTTCCGAGTGACGTCCCAGTTCTATCAGGGGGGCTCGAATTTCAAACAGCTTTCTGCTTTCTTTTCGCGCCTTTCCGCCCTTCCTCTCGGTGTCACTTGACGGGAGTGCATCTCGGGTGGAGGTGCCGCCGGTGAATGGACTCCCTGGAGCCATCTCGTCATTGGCGCGCGGGGGAGGCGGGGCGGGGCACAGTGGGCCAGAAGACCGGTGGAGGCGGACAAAACACTAGACGCGTTTTGAGCTCCAGAGTCGCTAAATGGGACTCGAACCGAACGTGTGATCCCACCAATGGATTCCTCGTTCGGAGAGCAATCCATTGGTGGGGTCACACGCTCGGTTCGAGTCCCATTTAGCGACTCTGGAGCTCGAAGCGCGTCTGGAGTTTTGTCCGCCTCCGGTCTTCTGGCCCACTGTGCGGGGCGGGGCGCGCCGCGAAGGCCAGCAAACAGGACCCCGTTTGAGCCGCGAGATGCAAAGGGCCTTGCACCCCTCCCTTGCCCTTTTCTCTCCCGGTCCTTTGCCCCCGCGGAGTCTTCACTTCCAATTTCCACCCAAATCCGGCCGCAGCAGCGCCGCAAGCTTCGCCCCGTTTAAAGAAAAACCAAAATAAAATAAAAACAAAACAAAATTAAATAAAAGCATTACGCAAATACTGGCGGGAATTTCGGTAGGTATGATTAATGAAATTGCTGCGGGGCGGCGCAGTTATTTTCCTGTTTTGCAGAAGTTTACACATGCGCCCAAAAAGCTTTAGACTGGCTCTCTTGCTGCGCCTCTGTCGGGAGGGACTGTATAAATCTCCCCTTGCAGTCGGAGAGAGAGAGAAAGAGAACCAGAGAGAGAAAAGGACACACACAGCGCATTCAAAAAATAAAATGCAAACATTTTTCTCGGGGCCTTTGGGTCGCGGGGGAGAGTTTTCTCCGGTACGTGGTACGTATAGAGCTCTTTGTTTTGGTGGAGGCGTGGCCTGGCGTGGCCTGGCATGGCCGGGCGTGGCCGGGCGCGGCCCCGAGGGGCGGAGTGCGGCACGGCGCGGCTGAGAGGAGCCACCCCTTGCCCATCCTCGCCACGGGGTGCGTGCCGCATCTTAGGGGGAGACACACACACACCCAAACACACACACTGACACACAGACAAACTGACAGGCACGCACCGTGAGACACACTGACATAAAGACAGTCAGACACGCAGACAGACCGACGTGAAGACAGTCAGACGCGAACAGGCGCGGCCTGACCTGGACTCAGGCTTGATTAGACACAGACGGACACAGACACAGACGGCGGTTTAAATTTAGAAGGCATGCCCCAGTTTGAACCAGAATGATGCGCGGCCGCGGCCAGGCTGACCCCGCCGGTCTGTCGAGCCACAGCCGGTGTTCCGGTGTTCCGGTGCTCCGGTGCTCCGGTGTTCCGGTGCTCCAGTGTTCCGGTGCTCCAGTGTTCCGGTGCTCCGTGTTCCGGTGCTCCGTGTTGTGCTCCGGTGTTCCGGTGCTCCGGTGTTCCGGTGCTCCGGTGTTCCGGTGCTCCGACGTCCCGGCGTTCCAGTGTCGGCGGGGAAAGCCGCCGGATCGCGCACACCGGTGGAAATTGGGCAAAGTTGATTAAGGCCGGGCAAACTCCTGTGGGGGAGGAATGGAGGAATCAGGGCCTGGCGGACAAACTTTTCCAGATTCGTGGGGATTAGTGCGGGGCGGGGCGGGGCGGGGCACAGACGGCCAGGGCAGGCTCGGCCAGGCTGTAGTGAGCGCCGCGCTGACTTAAGTGAATGAAAGGGTAGGGCGCTGGCCTTGCCTCCCCGTGGCGCGCGGACGGCGTGGATGTCGTGGACGGCGAGGACCCCCACGGTGCGCTGCGAGGCAATGCAAGGCCAGACTTTGCAGGACGGCAGTCCCAGATCGCCCCCCCCCTCCCTTTTGCACCTCTAATTTGTAGTGCATGTGAGGGGCATACCGACTGCGACGCCAGAAGCTTGGCGTACTGCCTTGGCGGGTCGTGCACGGACCGCGGACGCTAGTCGTGCCCGGGCCGTTGCTTTTGGTTATCGCCGCAAGTGCCTGCCGAGGCGTAGGCGTCGTGCACGGCGGCCGGCCGATGCGTCACACGTCGAACACCTGTCGCGGACACGAGGCGCGCGGCTAGAGTCGCCTAAAGTCCGGTAAGGCGGAGCAAGCTCCCCCGCCCGGCCAAGTGCAGCGCCGTTTCGGTGGGCAGCCACTTGCAGTGGGGCAGTGGCTCTCGGTTTTGTCGCTGCACCTGCCGCGTGGTGACGGCACGGCAGTACCGCGCTGTTACCGCAGGTCCTGACTGTCCTGACGGGAAGCCCCCTCGCTATGAAACAACCCAATCTAGGACTCAACACCCACTGCACCGTGGCGTTGCCGCCACAGTTTCCTTGTCGCGAGATTGGGGCTCCGTCCGGAGTGACAGCTTTGGCGTTGGCGTCCGCCAGGACCAAGGAGTCCCTCTCGAACGGCCAAGTTGGCTTGGCTGGCACCAATCCGGCGGCAGGCGAACTCGCCGACGGCATTGCGATGCAGTGCGGTGCCGGACTGCCGGGCCCGAGGAGGCGGGCGAGGCGGGTGGAGGCAAGCCGCAACAACGCTGTGGCGTCTAAAGCGGCAAACTCTGGGATGTATAGGTTCGCCCCAACCACGGTTCTCTAGTTACAACGCTCCAGTTCCCTCACGCCTTTTCCTAAACTTTGAATGTTGTGATTCAACGATCTGCCGCGGCTCGGCCGTGCGCGGCCGGCGCTAAACGGTGGTAAAGTCGGTGCGGTCCGCCGCAACACGTTCACAAACACACACAACACAAACCGCCGTCGCGGCAGGGCAGCCGGGCAAGTCGCCGCCTGAGACGGCCCTGGAGGCCCTGGAGGCCCTGGAGCGCCTAATCCTCACCGGTGGGCGTCAAGGCGATCAGAGACAAGACCGACACGGCGACAATCTGGAGCACTGGCGTTGCCATGACGACCGCGAGCAACACGGATCCCGCGTGATCATCTGAGAGAGACGGAACGAAGACTGAGCGGCCGGAGGGCCACCGGCCGGCGCGGCGCGCGGGAAAACAGGAGGGAGGGGGTGAGGGAGGGGAGGGGCGGGGCGGGTGGGGTGGAGTGGAGCGGCAGGGAAGGACGCGCGCATGCGTCCTCAGTGCAGTGTCTAAACGTTCATCACTCATGTTTTGATGGTAGTGCGCCGAGAAAATGAGAGAGAGAAAGCCACCACGGCGCGGCGAGTCGGCGAGGGAGAGGGAGAGGGATGATGATGCTCGCGGAGTAGATTTCACTTTTGCTACCCTCCGCCGTGTTCGCCACTCCGCACCCCGTCCCGCTTTGCTTCATAAATAGTGCACGCTTGTCGGCCCGTCGGCCCGTCACTCCACCGTCGGACTGATTCCGAACCGCGGCCTCGTCGCTCTGTCTCTCTCGCGCTCGACGCGCCAGCAGGGTGGCCCGCGGGGGTGCGAGAGAGTCGCGTCTCTGCGGAATCTGCGTACGGCGCTGCATTTGCCTGCGATGGCCGTGCCGCCGTGTCGACGTTGTCGCGAGGGCGGGAAAACATTTTCGTTGCGCACGGCTGGCGGGGCGGGCGGGGCGGGGCGGGGCGGGGCGGGGCGGGGCGGGGCGGGGCGGGGCGGGGCGGGGCGGGGGGCGGGGCGGGGCGGGGCACGGGGTGCAAAACGTCCGCCGCCGCTCCGCTAGCTCATCCCCCAGCTCGACTAGTGTGTTTGTGGCGCCTGCCTCCACGGTACAGAGGGTGGGTAAACACTTTTATCGGAAACAACATATTTGTTATGAAGTCTGCTAAATTTGATAGGTAAACAGACAAAGTAATATGACGCACTCCCATTTTATTTGATTGCTGTTATAGCGAAACCTAACTATAATATCCTAAGCTATATATGCAGTCGGCCTTGCCGGAACAAGAATCAATAAGTTTAGTACCAGCGGGACTGAGTTCGCACCTGCTACCGTGACACCATGTTTTTCACAAACTGCGTCTCCCCTCAAAAGTTTTGATGTTATTTTCGGCGGTGATGGTTGTCGAAGCCACGCCACCCACACACACGACTTTGAGTAACGAGCTTTTTAGAAAACAGTCCGCTGCACCTATAATACATCCCCACCAGCAGCACGACTTCCTCATGAAGATAAGCGCACTCGAGGCCGAGCGGAGTGACTCGCACCCCCACCCCGCTGCCTTCCGCCGGTAGCGTGAGAGTCCTCATCACGGTCCGTTCGTCGCGGCAGTGGCGGCAGTCAAGGCGGTCACGGCCTGCTTCGCCGCTTCGCTGCTTCGCTGCTTCGGCTGTCTCGACTACTTCGGGCGCCAACTGCCGCAGATAGCGCTTTACTGCAGGCAGAATCGGGGATAGCGCCTTTGCCGCCTTGTCCCCGGCCAGCCCGTTTATTGACTACCCCTCCTCCTCCTCCACTCGGACAAGTAGAGAAGTACATCGCTTCGTGACCGCCCACTAATTGCTGCGTCTGCTTCAGTCCGCCTCCATGTATGTCTGTCCGTCTGTCTGTCCGTCTGTCTGTCTGTCTGTCTGTCTGTCTGTCTGTCTGTCTGTCTGTCTGTCTGTCTGTCTGTCTGTCTGTCTGTCTGTCTGTCTGTCTGTCTGTCTGTCTGTCTGTCTGTCTGTCTGTCTGTCTGTCCGTCAGCCTGTCTTGCGTCTGCACGCCCGTCCGTCTGCCTACCCGCGTGGTGCTGGCGGCCGGCTCGCGGCGCCAGTCGAAAGCAAGCAGCAAGCAGCAAGCAGGAGCCACCAGTCATAATCTCTATTAAGTCCACGTCAATGCTGGCGATGCCTGGCGATGGCGTGGGAACGCGCCTGCCGATCGCCGGCCGCGCCGTCACGCACCCCCCCCCCCTTCCCCCCGCCTCCCTGGCGGCCCCACTGCTTCGTCGCTCTGTCTCTCTCCCACCCCTACGGCACGCCGGACGCCCCGCGGGCGCGAGAGAGACAGCGAGACATCCCCGTCGAAGTGCCACGCGCCCCTGCCGCCCGGCGCCCTGCCGACCTGTAGAGCGCGGCTGCGTGGCGGGCTTGCCTACCCGGCACCTGGCAGGCGCTCGGCTCGGCTTGGCTCGCAGGGGGCGCTGCAGCCTCGCCGCGCTGCGTCCGGCCCGACGGCCCGGCGCCCGCTGGGATGCACTCGCTGCAACTTGCAGCCGTCGTGCCGGCCGTGCTCGACGTACCAAGGGCGCGACGCCGTGCTGCCGTGCGCCAGCACACAACAAGTCGATTAGCCCGTCTTTTGAGCGGCGCGGCGAGGCTTCGCGGACCGAAAGGCGCCGCGGTGCACGCGGCCCGGCGGAGGGAGGAGAGAGGGCGGGTGGAGGGGGTGGACGCGCGGTCCGCGAGGAGGAGTATATTACCGCGCTCCCCTCCGATCGTCCCACTGGGACCACCGTCCGTGGAGTCGCCGGGGATGGAGGCCAGGCCGCGCGGGCAGGCCGCACCAGCGCCGCGCCTCGCCGCCCCAAACCACTCCCCATTTTGCAACTGTATTTTGATTGTGCCGATGCTGAGCCTCGCCAGAGAGGGTCCTCGCACCAGCCAGGTCCCGGGGCGTGGCGGGGCTAGGCGGGGCGAGGCGGGGCGAGGCGAGGCGGGGCGTGCCAGAAAAGCCCCTCCCCAAGTGCGTGCGGCACCCCGCACCCCACAGAGGCCCCACGACCCGTGGCGGACCCCGGCCACGTTCCTTTTTATATTGTATCTCCTTATTTATCTTTTTACATCATATATGTTGCATTTTTTTCCTTTACGTCATTTCGCACCGCCGGGGCTTCTTCCTTCACGGCCGCCCGCTCTTTTTTTTCGCCCATTTTGCCGCCTTTCAAGCCTCCCGCTTGTCGCCAGACACCGTCCCCTTGAAGAAAAAGACACCGACGGCCGGGCACTTGTTGGTGTGTGCGTGGTGTGTGTGTGTATGTGTGTGTGTGTGTGCGTGCGTGCGTGTGCGCGCGCCATGATCGGAATGAACGAGGTCCACGCCGCACTACGGGGTGCGCGTTTATACGCCGCTTGGACTATCGGGCGGAGCCGGGAGTGGAGGGGAGGGGAAGGGGAAGGGGAGGGAGGCAATCGTCCGACTATGTGACGTTCCGCCCTGCCCCCGGCCCTGGCCGTCCCTGGCCGCCCCCCGACTGGCCGCGCTCGGCGCACAAAAGGACAATTTCAGTCGTCTGTTGACTTCTGCGCAATCAAGTGTGGCGGAGGAGCCGGATAGTCTGCTGGAGTAAAAGTCTGTCCGCCTGTCTGGTCTGGGCGGCCTGGGCCCGAGTCGGCCTGTCCGCCTGTCCGCCGGGCGCGCCTACCGCCCCACCCCCTTTAAAGTTGAGTCTGGGGGTCGTGTGGCAAACCGCCTCGCCGGTGCACTGGGGTCGCGCATCTGCATTTACGCCCCGAGTCGCGCTTCCTCCCTCGCCCCACGCCGCCCTTCTCCACGGCCGCACAGTGGGCCAGAAGACCGGTGGAGGCGGCCAAAACTCTAGACGCGATTTGAGCTCCAGAGTCGCTAAACAGGACTCGAATCGAACGTGTGACCCCACCAATGGATTCCTCGTTCGGAGAGCAATCCATTGGTGGGGTCACACGTTCGGTTTGAGTCCCATTTAGCAACTCTGGAGCTCAAAACGCGTCTAGAGTTTTGGCCGCCTCCACCGGTCTTCTGGCCCACTGTGCCCCGCCCTTCTCCACGGCCGCACGGCCGCACGCGCGGCTCTTTGACTCGTTCGACGTCTTCGGCGGGCGCGTGCAACTCGCCTCCTCGAGTCCCCCGCCATCGCCGTGATCCGCGATCCGTGATCCGGCGCGTCTCGGCTCATCCTCTCTTGAGTGCCGTAGTGCCGTGCCGGGGTTCGCTCCTCGCTCCTGGCTCTTGTCTCCTCGCTCCGCATAAAGGTGGTGCAGTCAGACAAGCGGGGGGCAGGGCGGCAAAGCTGCAGACTGATTCAGAGAGCCGTTCTCGTCGCGCGCTCTATCCTCTCTATCGCACCCTCGCGGAACACTCGCCATTGCGAGAGAGACAGCTACGAGTCAGTCTGCTGAAGAGGGGCAACGAACGCGGCGCCCTCGCCACAGCCACGCCGCCGCCACTGTCAACCGCGGCCTCCGCCGAGGACGCGCGGCGAGGATAGCAGGACTAACTAAGACCTCGAGAGGGATTCGGAGATGGATTGAAAACTCAAGCGGTTACTTCTCTTTTTCATTTCTTCTTGCGATGCATATACGTCCCATGGAGAAACACGCAGCCGGGCAAGACGATGGCAAGCAAGGCGCGGGGCATCCTCCTGGCAGCTGTCTTCAAGACCCACACTGTCCGCGCACGGGCACACGGCCTATTGCCTTTCGTTTTGAACGACAGGCCGATAAAGAGGCGGTGTGTGTGTGTGTGTGTGTGCTGTGTAGGACTGTGTGCGCATTTCCCTCGGTGGCTCCGCAGTAGGGTCTTCCCTCATAACGTCGTGTTTGTCTGCGCACGTCAAGCAAAGGTGCGTGCCGGAGGGGAGCACGAGGATCTCAAGGTTAGGGGGCGGTAGTCCGGGCCGCGGCAGGGAGTGGCCGGCGCTTGTCTATGCATTGTTGCATCTGCCGAGGTCCCCACAGCCCGCACTGCAGCACTGCAGCCCCCACGCCGCTCGCTGCATCTGCGCGCGTAATGAAAAGGCGGCACGAAGTCCAGCAGGCCGGGCCGGCGAGGCGAGCAGAGGCGAGGGTGCGGCGCTGCCTTGTTTGTTCCCCTGCGCCTTCCGGGCAGCAGCCTTCCGGGACCTGCCGGGGCCGCGGTGCGCCGTGCCCGCCACGCGAGGGGGATCCTGGTGGCCGTCGTGGTGGCCGTCGTGGTGGCCGTCGTGGTAGCCGTCGTGGTAGCCGTCGTGGTGGCCGTCGTGGTGGCCGTCGTGGTGGCCGTCGTGGTGGCCGTCGTGGTGGCCGTCGTGGAGGCCGTCGTGGTGGCCGTCGTGGTGGCCGTCGTGGCCGTCGTGGTGGCCGTCGTGGTGGGCCAGGCCAGGC